AGGAAGGAAAGAAAAATCAGAATACAAAAGACAAGGGAGGGGGAGAGAAAGGGGTAGGGGCAGTGCTGGGGGAGGCAAACAAACAAGCAGTAAATGCATAGGAAGAAAGGAGGCACAAAAGCTACTTCAGATAAAGGGTTAAGAATCCTATAGTCCCTGTTTAAACTGATGAAACCACCAAGTGCATTAGCAGAACTGGTGGAAACAAAGCTAAATAGCACAAGAACCACAGCCTGTGGTACCAGGTGCTGCAGGGTGGTGGCTCTGTTTGCCTAGCTAAGGTGCATTTAGAATCCACAGAGGTGAAGTAGGAATGGGACTCTGCTGAGCCTCATTTAAAGGGAACTTGGTTTTCAACACACTTCTTGTCTGTTCCGCTGCCTTCGCTTTTACTGAGTTGTATGACAGCTTCCCTGGCAGACCCTCACCCTACGGTGAGGGTGAATGTGCACCTGGAGCTGGGGGGACAATTGGGCACCTCATCCTTAGGGGACACATTTCTCCTCTTTGTTCCACAGCATAAACAAATACCTGACAGGCAGAGAACAGGTTTTGATGCATTTGCTACTCCACCATTCACCCATAATCACAGCCCACCTCTTTCTCCACAGCTTCCCCATCTTTGTATGACAGAACCTGCCCTCTGGAAACTGGCTGATGGACTTGGTGATGTGCGATAGCAATCTAGCCTGCCCAGTAAAGTTAGCCATGACTGAATAATTTCAGCAAAATGGTCAGCTGCACTAGGAGGCGGCTGAAGCGATTCACAGAGAACCTTTCAGTCTACAGAACACACAACTCATACACAGGCACTATCATGCTCCTCCTGACACCCCTACAATACACAGTTATACATGCAGACATATAGCACGAATGCGTGCACGTGCTCATGCACACACAAGCACCCAGTAACGTAGAAATGCATGCACATGATGACACACATATACCCCTAAAAATTTAGAAATGCCTGTACAGACACCCAGCACACACATTCATACCAGCATCTTCTTAATACTGCAGAAATATGCATTCAGATACACAGTACACACAAGGTCATATACACATGCATCTCAATAATTCACATACAACACACACCACCAATATGGAAATCCACATACAGACACACTCAGTGCTCTCTGCAGCTTTCATAATCACACAGCTCATGCCATTTACAATACAAAAGTGCATTTACAGATGCTCAAATACATATTCCTGTCTAGGAAACTTCAAGCATTGCAGCCACACAGACTCACAACTACAGGTACAGACACACATGTACACAATTCTGCTGCACGTGCTTGCAGAGAGATTGCTGCAAAGGTGCACTTTTACCTCAGTTTTCTCAGGTGATGTGGTGCCCAATTACCAATAAGCCAATGAGAGTTGTGGGTGAAGAACCCTTGACAATCAGAACAACTGTGTGCACCTGCCTCTTCTTTCCCAAACACACCCTAGTATCCACTCACACACATTAAGGTTGTTGTTAGGTGGAACCTGATTTCTTTTTGGTGCCTCTCTTCATGCTAAAACCTCCCTTGCCACTCTCTCCTCTAATGAGAGTCGCTTAGTGTAACCTGCAATGCTTGAACTGATTTGGAGGTAGATAGACATTTCCTTTTCATTCCAGAAATTCAGGCACATGCCTGCAGTGGTTCAGGCTAGAAGCTGGGAGGTGCTAGAGCAGGCCTCCCCTCCCTTCCCTTCCACACTGCTGAACTGGGGGGGGGGGGCATGGCCAGTCCCCAGCTGGATGCTCTGATTAGGGAGGGATTCCCCCCCCAGCAGCCCAGTAGGGAATTGATAACACCGTGTTTATCACCCCTAACTCACTGTTTATCAGCCCATTAAGAAAACAAAAGTGTCTCTCATTAGTTCAAGCTCTCCTTAAACAACTTTTTCCAAGGAAGGAAGAGAGTGATGTTACCAGCTACCTATTGATTAGCTACAATAAGCCAACACTGTCCTGTCTGCCTTAGTCCTGTCTCCCACAGCACTGTATCCAGCATGTGGTATGCTAGATAATGCTGAGAGGTGTAAGGCAGAAGAGGGAATCCCTGCTTCAGCAGGGAGGGGGGAGGGGGAAACAAGAAGAAGCTAGGCAGACCCTGCTGTACCCGCAGTCTCTGCTAGAGCTGCAGCCAGGGAGCAGAGGGGAAGAGCCAGCCCAGCTCTCTGGAGCATAGACCCAGCCCAGCCCAGAGAACATGGTGGGATGCTGGAGGACTCTGATTGAACTTAAACCAGGAAGGGGTCTGGGATAGACATTGCATACTGGTTTGACCTAAATCAGTTAAGTTTGATACTATATTCAATCAGGTTTATCTCAAACTGGTTTCAGCCATTTGCAAACTGGTTTATGCTCACCAAACATCTGTTCTGTTACAGATTTAAATTAATTTCTGATCACTTAAACCAGTTTATGTGTAATATCTGTCTCTAGCCTAGCTCAGATGCTATGATATAAAGGCAGGGGCAGGAATTTTTCTCACATGTCTGCAAGGAGGTCTGAAGTTGGTTCCCCCTGGCAACTGACCAAAGTGGATAGGGAGGGGGTTAATTCTACCCTCCTTCCCCTTCACCATAGCCCGAGTCTGCCTGTTTGTGGGCAAGCTGCGGAGGTGGAGGTGGGGGCTGGGGCTGGCAGACCCTAGCTGTGGTCCTGGGGGGCATCAAAGGGAAAAGAGGAGTCAAACAGCTTAAGGATGGTATAACGTCTCTGAAATTTGCACAGAAAAAAGCCATTTCTTCAATATTTGTTACTCAGTATTTGTTATATGCTTAGTATTTGTGAGCCCAGTATTCCTTATCCTTATATTCATTGGGCCATGTCTCAGTGTAAGGTTTACTTATGTACCCGAGTAATTCCATTGACATCACTGAGATTTCTAATTATTCATTTAAGTAAGTGTTTTTAGGGTCAGGACCTTTTAAGCTGTAAGTTTTTTGTGGCAGAGGTGTTGTCTTTCTCTCCATTCTATAAAGTCCAGTGCGGATACAGCATGCTGTATAAATGAGATTACAGGGAGTTGCTATTATATAATGCTATGAAAAAAATATAAGAATTATTTGTTCCAATAACAGTAAAAGTCAATAAAAGCCAGTGACTTGCATGCTAGAAGTCACCTAGGTAAGCATTGACCTT